TAGCGACTGAATTAATCTATCCTGTTTTGAGTAAAGATGAAGAAGAAAAATCAAGAACTTGCAGCTTGCTCCTAAGACCTTTCTTGTTCTTCTACGCTCCCTGGAAATTAGGCCCACCTGACAGCCTGCTCCATAAACATTTAACAAGCATTCTGCATCTCACAATACTTCACCTATTCACAAAAAAGCACTGTCAGATGCAAGATGTCCTACAGTTTTTTTCCCATGAATGTCTCACTGAAACAAAATGAAATCCTTGCAAGACTCTGTAATTCCTCCCCAAGCCAGGTGCAAAAATCATTAACAGTGTTCTGTACCTTATAATAAAATTGAAGTGGTAAAGAATCTTGATAATACACGAAGGCATTTATGTCCACAAGAAACACACAAACTGTGTAAATATATAGAGAGAACTGCTGGGTATTGGTGAAGGTGTGAAAATGATCTGGACCAGTCCTGGCAGAAGGGAGGCACTGGGGCAGGTTCCCAGAGCACCAGAGCTGACAGGGGCTGGATCACACTGTTGTTCTGTAAGTGGAAAAAGCCAGACTTGACCATGGGAAGGAAGAGAGTTAAAGAGATTCTTTCTCGAATTTAGCATAACTCAGAAGAAAAAATTACCATCCTTGACAAATAGTCACCATACAAGCTCAGCTCTTTGGTTGTTAGAAATACTCACCAGAAGTATTCATGTGGCAGGTTATTTCTGAAGGAAGGTCATTTATTTTCAGTATTTGTTGCTTAGAGACACCTTGGCTTTTTCTGAACTGAGAAAGCATGCTGTACTCTCCAGATGTGAATAGCAAATTCTCTTTACAAACTTGCAATGTCTCTTTAATGGAAAGCTTATGCTTTTTTTTGTTGGTTTTTTTTTGTTTTGTTTTTTGGGGGTTTTTTTTGTTTTGTTTTGTTTTAGCAAAAAAGAAGTTTAATCTCCTGAAGAGAAGCTGAGAACGCTTATCTCACCAAGCTGGTCTCAGGAGTTCATGGATTTCCACATCAGCAGAGTTCTCCCCAGGGATATTCTTCCAGGTTTGAAGTTGCTACATACATCCTGGTCTGCACCACGGCTCTAGAATTGTCAATATTCCTCTTTTTTTTTTTTTTTCTTTTTTTTTTTTTTTTTTTTTTTTTTTTTACCATTTTCTGTGCAGCTGCCTGCCTTTCTGCAAGGGATGGTAGAACTATTCACACGTGGTTTTTCCATTCCACTGACCAGTGCATTAGGTTAAAGGCTGTTACAGTGCCCTTGGAGAGGATGTCTGCCTGTCTGTGCACCCTGAGACCTGCACTTACCCATACGATGGAGAGAAAGGGAAACGACACTTTCTATAGGAAAATGGAGTATAAAGCACCCAAAGTAGAATGAAGAATGAAGTCATGTTTTTCACCAAAATACAGCTTCTGATTTAAACCTCTCCAGTTTTCAGGCAATCCATTTCCAATAATTTATTTACATTTTTCATGAAAAGCAGACCCCTTTTGTAAAAAAACCCAGAATCTAGGCAAAAAATAAACATTCTGTCAAGAATAGTGTTCATGTGGAAAAATTTCATCCAGTTCTATTTACATAGCCACAGATATATAATAGCTGTATAAACAGAACTGTTCAAATGTGGGCAGTTGCATACGCCCACCCTCACTTTTTATTGTCTGATATTATTTGTGAACTCCATTTGTGAAAAGAAAAATAAAATATACAGAAGTTCAAGATCGACTGTAACATCATTGTAACAATTTCTTAGAGCATTGACAATCTGGTATTTGAACGGGTGATTTATATGGGCCCTTTGAACCTTGGCTCATGATTTTCAGAACATGGTGAATAAACGTGTATATGTGTTTAAAATCCACAGCATTTTAACATTTACTTAACAGGGTTCCAAGGACGCCTGGGAGAAGTTTCCAATTGTCTCGTTGATTCAGGAGGCTCTATTGCTTAGACATGTGAAGCAAATACTTAGCAAATGTTTTAGGAATTTGTAACTAAGCACAGTCTGCTTGTACAGCTCAAAATCCAGGCAGCTTGTCTTTGCTCGAATCCTAACTTCACGCCAATTCCACAATGAAGACACCAGTGTTTTCCACTGGTTAAAAAAAATTACTACCACCAGATAATCCTCAACAGCCAATTTAGAGGGTATATCTTGGTCAAAGGTTTGGGATGAGATCTTAGATGAACTCAGAGAGGGGCTACATAATGGCCAAACCAGAGGAACTGAAATTAAATCCCATGGAAGGGATGACATGTAGGTGACGGGAGGGTGGGGAAAAGTAGCCGTGCCGAGGCATAGTTCAGGTTCAGTGCTCTGCAGAACAGTGAACCCAAATTTCTCCATGCTACAATGGAGAAAATTCTGCCAATTGAGGTGCATCCAAAATTGTCCATAGGTAAACCTTAAGAGGCTACAAATGAATGCGTATTTTCTACCTAGCCTGCACAATCTTCCACTAAAAGCTGCAGCAAGCATTTCAAATTCTTGTGGATTTGCATCAAGAATGTATGGACTCTATACTGGAAATACTCTATCACCTTTGAGCATTTCACTTTTCCTGACACAAATTTATAAATTCCCTTCTCCGTTTTCTGTTCAGCAATGGGATTTTAGGTGGAAGGGGTGAAAATACAAGCAAAAATTATAACAATTAAGTTTCACTAAAAAAACCAAACTATATAGACTTTTACAGTACTATGCCACATGAGGAAGGTTTTTATGCATCAGAATGACTAGGTCTGTGTGTCTTAGACATCCATGTAACATCTCAGGAGCACTTTCATTTTGTTTTCTTAATTCTCATAAAGAAAATAAAAAGCAAGGCAAAATTGTTCCATGCAAACTTTGCCAGATGTAAATGTATTAGACCAAAAAGTTAAGAAGGGAGGAAATATTGAAAATAGAACCATTAAATGACTGTGAGGAACTGGACAGTCCGTTCACGACCAGCCTTTCCTAGTTATGCATTTCAAATCTCCTTAGGAAAACTCGATTCCAAAGACTTTGATATGAAAGTCTTTGATTCCAATCACTATTCCCCAGTGGAAAATGGACTAACCTTTCACTGGCATTTAATTGATGGACACCCTGTTTAATCCTGGCTAAATCCCTGTATACTGCTCTTTAAAACAGTGTTAATAATAGCATATTTCTCCCATTCTACTTTTGTCTCACAAGATGGGAATCTCTTCAGGCAAAGCTGTTATTTTATTGTGAATACGAAGAGTTGCTAGAAAAACGATACTTAGAAACCAGCTGGGGTTTTTAGGTGCTTTACAAGTAATAAAGATAACAATGGTTAGATCAAAACTGGGTGACCTGAACAAGATACCCCCTTCTTCAAATGGTTTGACTAGTACAAAGGGCTGTGGGTATTAATTCAGCTTTTTGGGTAGCAGAGCATCTTGTTCTAAACTGTGGCCCTGACTTCGATGGCATTACACCCTCTAACCAGGATTACCGCGTGAGAGGCTGTGATAACTATTACTGAATCAGTAACTCCTAACAGCAGTCTGGGATGATTTGTTCCTTCCAAATGCTTCAGAGTTGCTCAGTGGCATAACCCTGATTAGAGCTCCCTTACGCTGCAATCTGACTTCTGTATCTATCTGCAGGAACCTCTGTGCAGCCCATCCTGCAGCAGTGGCTCTCTTGGCAAAGCTACCATCTAAAAGAAGAGCAAACACATATAATCCATGCATCCATGCCCACAGAGCTGACAAAACCCCTCTAGCCATACCGCAGAGGACACCACGCTTGTTAGCAGCACGCAGTGATAAATGTGACAGGAGGGCTCCTACTGTCCTACTGAAGCTCTTCTTCATTCTGTTAATTTATATTATTAGGATGGTGTCTGTAGAAAGCTGAGAATGTGCCAGAGTATAAATTTGTCAGAAAACCAGTATACATGTCTTTAAATGGATGGCTTGGAAATGATTTCTATTATACATTCATTGTTTATTAACCAAGGGTTGTCCGAGCAGGGCTTCATCACTATCTCCATCTGAAAGTAGCACACCCAAATGAAGCAGCACAAACATATTTCTCATGCTCATGGCAGTGCTGTCTGCTTGTCTGCTCAGATCCAGGATGGAGCTGACCTTGCCTGGTGCTGAGTTTTGCAGAGGGAGTCCTTCAGCAGGCACAAACCAGCACTTCACCTGCAAGGAGCAGACGCTCTGCTCCATCTCTGCGGAAATCTCAAGGCATTGTAAGGTATCATGAAGAGAAGAACATATCTAGTGAGGAGAGCAACACGTTTGCCATCAAAGCTTCATCTGAAACCAGTGATGAGTATGAACAGCAAGGATAAGGTCCTGGATAACCAGGTAAAGTGTCATATTCCAGCTGAAAAGAGGCTTGCTTGAGAAATCTTAGGACAAAGGAACTGAGCATAGAGAAAACTATACATAAGGGGTTCACTCTCAACTCTAAAGCAACATTTTCTTTCTCATGCTCCTACACAAGCCCCGGCTTGGCAACGAGGTGGAGAAACAGCAGCAGGAGGCATTTGGAAAGCTGGCAGAGACAATGGCAGGGCCAGCTGGCAGCTGAGCTGGCTTCACATGGAGTTCAAGCTCGGCTGTTCGTATTCCACAAGTCTAGTTACCAAAACCCTTAAACAGCCACATCTCAGCTGTTTCTGTCTTGAAAATGAATCGTAAAAGCCAGGGTCATCTGTACAATGTCCTGTACTGCTTTTCTTGCTTAATACTTTAAGAAATCATGCCAAAAGGATGAGAGTAAAGAGAACTCACACCTATCACAGATGTTTCATTTGATGCTCCATTTCAGTTCCCAAAATTAAAAAAAAAATTAAAAAAAATATATATATAATCAAGAAGTATTAAATCATCGTCCCAGAAAGCAAGATGTGGAATAAATCTGAGTTGGGCAAAAATGAGCCCAGTTCCAACCGCTTACTGATGTGGTGTGAGGATGCAGCTGATGTGTTTATGCTTTATTTTTAACAGACATATTTACTACTCCTTTGCTTAATCTCACCTTCAGAGGCACCACTTGCATCAGAATGGCAAAGTTAGTGAGGTGGTTACAAAGGCACACGGAGTAGTTGAGGTCCCCACTCTCCCGTACACAACCTTCGTTAGACCAAACACCAGTTCCATTGCTGCAAAGCACACAAAAACGGAACATAGGCTCTATCAAAATGCATCTGTGCAGGTTAATTTGACATGCAGTGTACTATACAGGAGATATAAAGATTTGAAAGCCATCTCAGGCTGACGCATCCACAAACATTGCTAGTGTCTTCTCAATTCCATCATAAAAATAGTCAAGGGGAATATTGACCAGAACAGGGCCAACACGAATGTCACTAGAGATTTCTTCCCTGTTTTATAATCAACGATCAATAACTACTTTTTAAATTTACATTGTGCAACCCATTTATGGCATTTCACCCAACTAGACCCAAATTTCTACACTCTGATAACTATAATGTCAGACAAGTCAATAACCTTGCAAGAGTCAAAATAGTCAGCGTATCATATCTGCTGCCTCTCCCTTATCCTCTGTCCCACTGATCCTGTCAAAGTTAGTAATTCAGACTGGTTGAGCACGAACCCATGTCAACTGGGTTTTTTCACTTCATCCTCAGGGTCAGCAAGAGTAGCTCCTGCTCCGTGAGGACACAGCTGGAGGGGCTGTGCCACCTGGGCCGGGGGCTGCACAGGAAGGTGATCCTCATGAGTCTGCTTCTTCCTGGAGCCAGGACAACCCAGAAACCCCTGTGCTGCCACAGCCCTGCAGCGGTCCTGCAGCTGGACACAGGGTAGGGTAGGGTCATAGAGCCACAGGCATACATTTGGGGGTTTCTATGGGCTCAGGATCATAGGTTACCCACCCATACTGCCCGCTTCTTAACCAGTTCTGGCTTTTGATATTATTCTGGGTCCTGAAGCGAGACTGAGTGATCTGTGTTTTTTTCTTGGTGCTTATTTTAAAGTTAGGTCTTACCTCACTCTTCTTCTGTCCTTTGGGACCTCCCTGAGTTCTCAAAGAGAGTCTGTCATAGGTCAGAAACCATTTGCTTATTCTTTAACTACCATGCACTAGGGAATAAGACCATCTTGACACAAATAAAACTCATTTGGAAGGCCAGATTTCATATTTCAGTTTCCATCCTAAGGCAAAGCCTCAAGGGCCCAGGCCCCAATGGAAAACAGCACAGGAACAATGCCCCAGCCGTATTAATTTGCTTCAGTAAAATCTGTTTCTAATTTATCGTAATTTGTGAGTAACCATAACAACAAGTAACTGCCAACAGCTGGGACAGTTCAACATATTTGAAACAAAAAACTTCAATAAAACAATTACAGTGACCTTCCCATGTGCATGCTGGGCAGGAGGGATCACAGCATTACTGGCCATTGCTACATCAATTAAGCTTATGCCATTATGGCTCAAAAACTGTTAATCCCCATGAAATTCAAAGTTCACTATTGGTATTCTTTCTCAATTAATTCAGAAGAAATAGCATGTTTGGAAATCAAGACCAGATGAGATATATTCAGAGCTAAAAAAAGAATAGCTACTGCTTGTCCATTGTTCCTATTTTATGAAATAAATTTAAGGTGATATTTATTTCCCTTTTATTGTAATTTGCATTCAGGGGCATAATATTTCTTCATTCCATGTATTGACCAAAATTCACAGCTCTGAAATACTAATCTCACATGGTGTTGTGACACAGGCACAGATCCTGTGAAAACAATGGCTCTGCTGGAGGTTTGCCATCTTATAACATCCAAGCATCTGCCCAAGAAGACGTACTCACAAACCAAGATAAGCACGATTTGTGTCAGTCTGCATTTTAGTTTTGATTCCAAAAAATTTTTGGTCTTTCAATTACCTGCCTAGCACAGGGTCTGTGAATAACGAGTCTCCTATTTATGGTAAGAAGTTACCATGAGATTGTGGTTTTTTGTAAACCAGTAGCCCATTTCGTTAAGTATTTCCATGAATGAAAGAGAACAAGAAGAATATAGGTAACATGTAGCGTCACAGACAATGTGCAATTTAATGAAGCCAAGTTAAAGTAGCTGAAATTCTGTTACATACCTATAGTCCAGAAATGCACAGTAAAGATGAACTCTGTTACTCTTATTTAGTGCTTGGCTGTATTGTCTGGGAGTCTGCAAGAGAGAAAATACAAACCCTGAAGGAATGTTCTAAAAGGACCCAATTCTGCTATTCAACTCTTCTAAATTCTCATTGTTATAACAATTTCAATAGACTTATTCTAGATTAATACATCATAACTGAAAGCAAATGTTATCAGTCTTTGTGGCTTTAACACAAACTCCAAATGTGCAAAGGCTTGCATTCAGTCTTAATTTTACACATCGGGATTAAACTCATGTCACTTTCAGTGAGAAATCTGTGTCTCATTTAAGTAAATAGCAAACCAGAATTATTTATTGCATATAAGCACAAATATATGTGATGATTTTTTCAGGATTGGAGTGTTATTCTTCAGCATATATTTGGTTTTGTTGGGTTTTGTCTTCATTAGGTAATAAAAATCTCACATTTTAGGATTAATAACACTGAAACACATGCATTACAATGATCAACTCGCAGACATTTTCCTTTCGCAATAGTGATTATTTTAAAACACAATCAAACTGAAAGAGAGATGCCATAATTCAAGATTTTATTTTAACACGCTTTAGCATTATGATGACATAATTTCTATCTTCCATAAGCAGATTGAGCCACTAACTCAACTTCCTCCATTCAGGAAGCTTTGAGACCCCATTCTCCACTCTGCTACACCAGTTTCATGACAAAATAATTCAAATTATATCGGAGTGAAGCAATAGTTTGTTATAGACAAAATATGCAAACTAGAGGATTTCCAGGATCTGTTCAACTGTTTCTAATACATAAATCCCCAAAATCTACATTGCATTAGACCCTACCTTAAGGCAATTTTTAGTTACAAGAGTCTTGAACATAAACAAATCACCAGGGAATTAACAGCCCTCGGATTATTGCAACACAATTCTGCTGCCAAGCCAAAAGATAACCAAGTATTGCTTTCCTTGTTTTAGAGAAAGAAGGGGAAAAAACACCCACTGCCTCACCATGCTGAAACTCAACTAAGTACAAGAAGTCCCTGATGCAATCTTCTCCTCTCCCACAAGCCCAATAACAAATGTCAGGCACCAGGTAGCACGGTTCCCTCCTTACCAGCGATAATAAAGCGTTTCTGCCTAGCCCAGGACATGCACACGTTCGTGTTGGATTCCCCCACACTCCAAGGAGCTATGCTGTAGATAAGACCATTTACTTTTGCAGATAAGACCATTTACTTGGTAACTCACATCTCTGGATAATATAATTGGAATTTTCTTATCTGCTTGAGCAACATCCCTGGGCAAAATTTCCAGTTCCCTGACTCACCCTGTTTTCCCTAAGCCCTCATCAGAAGAACAGCTGAGATTGCGGGTCAGGTACGCGCAGAAGCAGAGCTTTGTGACTACTGCTTACCCGCCGAGGGTCTCTATCTTCCCCTTGGACTCTGGTGACATCCTTTTCCCTTTTCCCACAAGGGCAGCAAAGCAGATGGTAAAACCTCACACTCTCACAAGTGTGCCCCACTGGGAAGTGACAATGGGACAAGATTCACGACCCCATCATGAGGAAATATCTCACTGATATAACCCCCAGTGGTGAGGGAGATGTAGTAAAACCAAGTATATGACATCAATTAGTACAGAGGAGCGCTTCTTCATCTGTGAAAGCTCTTCCCCATCACGAGCTGACATCTGAGAGCCCCATGCAATGCTTCAGGATCAAACTGCTATGTTCCCTGCTAGATCCATTGTTTCTGAACTTCCCATTCCTTTCAGAAAGTGGAAAACTGCCTTCTGCAACCTCAGTTAATTTGGAGTTCTGTTGGCAGAGTTCATTCTGTTTTACCAGCAGCAAGGGCATTTAGCATAATGTTTGCCCATTATGCTGGATAATCATGTCTATAGCTTCCCCGAAGTAAGCAATTGAAAGAATCTATAAGTCAGTTTGTATTACAAATTACTTCACTTGCATGACAGACAAACAGTGGCTTAAAAAAAGAAAAAAAGAGAAAGATGCGCCGTAATAACAGCTAAGATCATACAGTAACTGTCATTTCTGATTTGTAAGATATCTCTAGATGAATCTTGATTCTTAATACACTAAAAGGAGAGGGCACCGCAGGGTCAGGTTGGAAGGAGACATTGTACTTCAATTGTGTATCTTTTTACACAAATAAATCCCAGATGTATGTTTTACCCTCAATTAAGTTTCTCTGGCAAGGGACAAATTATTGGTTTTCTCCATCTTTAACTCTAAACACAGATGTCACTCATTAGACAAAGAAACACACCAAGTGGGGCTCTACAGTCTCCGAGTTGTCCAGAACTGTGTGCATGCCCACATGGAAAAAGAATAGATAAATAATGCCTCTACAAGGTTCCACACCTATTTGCCTATTTACTTCTCTTAAAGACTATGTCCCATGTTTTAACACACACAACATGGGTCTCACAAAGCTTTTCGGTGCTATTTATAACTGCTTAAAATACTCAGCTTCTCAGACTTTACTGGAAGTTCTGCAACAAAACCATCATTAGAAAGAAAGCCCCCCCCAGCATTTAAGAAACTGGCTACAATGAAGAATAAACTCTCTGATCTTCAACAGCCCTGCTTCAAAGTACTCTCTAATCTAGGAAAAAACGAACAGACTGTACCTCGATACTGCATTTCTAAAGTTAAACTGTGTGTGGCAGCTTATACGTGACTTGGATCCTCTAGCACTGAGGATATTGATTTAATGACACTGATAACAGAAAGCTTAATATACAAGCAGGCTTTTACTCTAAAAGATTAAGTCACTTGAGTGTTTATAAAAGCCTGTGAAAGGATAGTTTATGCAGCTTTCAGGAGTGTGGAGAGGGAAAGTACCAGCAAGCTAAGTGATGCAGGATCTGTACATCAGTTCACCCTAATCTAGGTTCTTTATATCAGTCCTCCTACAAGGAAAGGGGTACACGCAGCTTCTTCAAAATAATTACACCAAAAGAGGAAAGCAACCTCTTGTTGATGAGATGCAGCGCAAATTGTCTGATGGAGCAAGAATCTTGAGGAAGGACCGTCTGTCTATATCACGGCTGTTCAGCATCACTTACACTAACCACTGCCTCTCGATAAATTAGCCAGACTTAGAAGCAAACCACAGAAACTCATTGTGTGTGCTGAGAGCACACAGAGGATATGCACGGCTGGGTGATGGGGATATGGTACTTACACTGCTGGGAACTAGGCACAAGGCCATGCTTCGTGGTTGAAGAGGCCAAAAAAAGGGAGTTAGGGGCTGAAAGGACTGCTGGAAACCTTCAGGAAAACCTACTTGCAGGAAATGTCATGAACACAATTGCAAAAGAAAAACAGTCAGCCAGCTGCTGCTGGGATGGCTTGCCAAGGAATAGGAGCCAAGCAGAGGGTGGGGTGAACCTTGATGAGATTAACTTGTTTCTCCTCTCCTCCCCTGCATTTAAAAAGCAAATAAATAGCTACATAGTGGTGGCCACTAAGGAAGGAGGGTGTGCACCTTCTAGTTCAATGTGTATTTTTCTCCAGTGTGAAGGAGAACAATTCTGTGGGTCAGATCTGCCATCGACGCAAACTCAGCAGCTCCAAGCCCAATGTGCCGAGGGTTGGACTTCCTCTCACCCAAAGCAGATGATAATTTACCCTATTACCCTAGTTTGGAGTTCACTTGTCTCTGTTTACAAAATATAGCAGTTTGTCTAACCCAGAGATTTTGAAGCCTTGTCTTCTCACCCTCCAAGAACACCATGGATTATTCTGAAGGTGGCGAGAAAAGGCACTAAGACAAACAAGCCTCTCGTCAGTATGCTTACATCTTTTGTGCTGCTCACAGCCCCACTGAAATACTCTAATAGATGATGCTTCTAATTTAAGGATTTCCTCTTCTCATGGTGACATCCTAACTGTTAGCATGACCTACCCAGGAACACATTGTTTATTAACTTTCCTTTCCACCTTATACAATCTACTTCTCGTAATTACCCAGAAAATTAAAACTTTAAGGTACATTTACACAGTTCCCTGGGAAAAGACAGACAGAAAGAAAGAGAATGAAAGAATAATCACCTATTTCTATAGTGGCTATATTGGCTATTTTCTTCCAAGCTGTGAGAAAACTGCGTTGCAACAGACCTTGGGCTTAGATCATCCAACTATTTTAATTTAGAATGTGTTTGACTGATTCACCCTAAGATGTAACTAGCATATGTAATGAAAAAATTGTTACAAATTGTACAGGAATGAATTTAGCTTATCAGTAGGGAATTATAGTGTGTTATGCATAAAAGTCAGACCTTTAGTTATTCCATTGTTGTCAACAGATCTATGCCAACACATACTGAAGCAACGAGCAAAATACTGTAGGCTCCCAAGGTCAACATGAAAGCTTGCTGAATGTATTTCTTAATGGTAGAATCATACAGTTTAAAAAAAAAAATATCCCATGATATCAAAAAGACTGGAAGACTGTGACAGACAACAATATAAAGGAAAAAAAAACCTGAAATATCAGAGGTTATAAAGGCATATGAAATTATAAAATGTTACCATATGTAACTGAATATGGATTGGGTTTGATCCTTCCTTTGTCTGAGGTTAAAAATAGTCAATGGATCCATTTTCTGCAAAAGTATCGTTAATCAAATGCTGCACCAGTAGCCTTTCCCAGTTCTCAGAGCTCTCCATTTAACAGCTGCTGTATTGGGCAAGCAGTGTGAGAACAAAAAAGTAATGAAAAAACCCATGAGCAGACTGAAAAAGTACCTTGGCTGCTCTACTAGATAGCATTTTTATAAAAAGAGAAAGAAAAGGAAGAGGGAATGGATGAGAAAATTGTCCTGGTACTTTTTTTTTTCTCCTATTATTGTGCATAGCAAAAATTTTTGATTACTTCTGAATGTGTACAGCATCAATATCTCTTTGCAATTTCTCTTGGACTAACACCACCACATCCCTCTTAACCAGAACCCATCTTTCCTATGGCACTGAACAAGCAACTTCATCCATCAGCTCCCAAGACAACATTTGCCCACTTGTAGAC